CCTTTCAAAATAAAATACAGACTTCTCCTTAAGTGAAGCCTCTCCATCGTCCCTTCTGGGCCTCCATACATGTGTGGTGGTGACTGTGTCTGCAGAGACTCTGTCCTCTGACTGGATTTTACTGTTCTGCTTTGTTCTGGTTGACTCGGGACGTTTCTGGGCAGAGCTGGTGTGTTTCGTCCAGCCAATGACAGCGCAGCAGGTGAGTTTAGGAGTGGATACAATTCAAAGCGGTGAATATGACGGACGTGGACGTAGCAGCAAAGAAGAGAAAATATAATCAGAGTGAGGAGAAACACCAAGCGGATAAAGCTCGTTCTAAAACGAGGGGGGGCATCAAAGCCAATCAGACGAGGGCAGCAAGCTCCGGATGCAGACCAGAGATCTTCTTACAGTCCTTAATGTCTCTGTTGTTCTGAGTCCACCACAGGCCACAGTTTACTCTGCCCCATACCGTAAAAATGCTGTGGCTGCAAAACACGGATATAAAACATTACTAGGCAGGCTTCATGTGGCAGCGGGATGGTCACTGGAGGATTCCAGGGTTACTAAATGTGCGGCGAGGGAAACCAGTTAAACCCGTGGAGCTCGATAGAGACGTCTCTGCTGGAAGGGAACAAAACCTGTTGTTTTTTTTACAGACAGAAGAAAAGTTTTTTCTGTTTGTAAACTTTTCAGATGTCAGTTTTATTTCTGCAAGAAAGAAAAAATAGACAAAGTCCTGTAACACCAGATGTAAAAGACACACTTTTAATACATATTTTTTCTTAAACACCAGTGCGACCAATATTCAAGTATAAAATGCTGACACATGCACCATCATGGCCGACCTCCTGCCACATTCACTTTGTATTTAAAGGGATACTTCACCCATTTGCATTAAGCTTTGTATCATTAGAAACCTGGTAGTATTTTCCCCTGAGATGGCGGCGGTGAGGACGAGGAGCCCGGGCCGGCTCGAGCTGGGGCGGACTGGTAGTGTCGGTGCTCTCACTGTTTGCCTATGGACACATTTTCTGCCAGGGATTTCCAAGACACCAATTCCTCTTGGAAGAAATCTCGGAATCAGTTGAGGAAATGGCCTGTGTTGCAGTAAATATGTCTGTAAATGTTTTTATTACTATATTTCTACTGCTATATTGTATATTTTGGAGAAACTGTAACGATCGAATTTCCCTCTGGGATTAATAAAGTATTTCTGATTCTGATTCTGAAATAGAGGACCTTAGTGGGAGTGGCCTGCGGTGCTGTGCATTCTGGGATTGGTTGTCTTTCATCCACATGAGCCAAAAAGACACACACACACACACACACACACACACACACACACACACACACACACACACACACACACACTTCATCTCCTTCCTTCCTGGTTATCTAACGGAGGATTTGGTGACCTTCAGAGATAGATCCATTAGCTCCTGCAGAGATCAGACCCGTGTGACCTTTACCTTTATGGCCTCCCTCTTGCAGTTCGGCCACCCGGACAGCCTGAGAAGAATCTCCAGTTTCAGAGCCGTGAGGATGTCATTCAGCAGTAATACCTGAGGCATGTGAAGAGGCCTGAGCTTCATCAGGAGGATGACTTCCTGTTCAACCCGTCTGTGTGACTAATCCCATGTTTCTCTGAATGACTGCACCGAGCTCGTTAAAACAGAATGAAGGAATTTGTCAAAAGGAACGTCTGGGGTTCATCTCCGTTTGAGAGAGAGAGAGAGAGAGAGACGTTTGACTCTTCTCTGGAACATCAAACATCTTCGATCGGTTAACGAGGCTTCAATGAGTCAGTCAGTAAATCAGTGAAAGAAGGAAAAACGAGATTAAATAGAGACGTGACATCGAGCAATAACGCTGCAATTAAAGAGACGAGAGTCGATCACATGTAAAGAAAGGTCGAGGCAAAGTCAAAGCCACAAATCTGAGACCACACAGTGTGAGCTGTACACACACACACAGACACACACACACAAACACACACACACACACACACACACAAACACACACACACACACACACACACACACACAGTGTATACATTTAAAGAGATATTCACATTTCATACAGCTATTCTGAGCTAATTGAATCATCCACTTACGTTGTTTTTATTGTGTTATGGTTTGAAGAAAACTCCTTCAGAGTCTCTTCATGTTTTCACTTTCTGAATGTTTTCCTGTTTTTTCATGCTTCCTAAATCAGGCAGTCAATCAGTTCATCATGTCTGTAAAGTTACTCAGCTCAGAAAAGGCTTTGTTTTCTCAAGTAAGCATTACACCTACGTAAATATTCTGAGAGTCACAGAAACCTTTAAATAGGATCTCCTCCCAGGTACCTTAGGGACGCAGACATGACGGGGTTAATATCTGTAACGTAAACGCCAAGCAGAGAAGAAAGTCTTGGCTGGTTGGAAGTTCTTTAACCCTAACCATTGGCTTCACCTGATCATTGAGGCATTTCTGTCTAACATGGTGTTCTATGGGGATTGACTCACTTTTGAAGACCGCTGGTGGACACTTTAGGAACTGCAGTTTGTGGAATTTTTAATGTCGTTAAATTATTCAGCTCTGAACAAATAAAGATGAAAATGAATGAATCCTGTTCATCCATATCAGGCAACACTTAACGGCCCTGACACACCAAGCAGACGGCAAAGAAGGCCTCACGACGCCTCACGACTCGGCCAAAAAGTTTCACTTGAACACACCACAAAGACTACAGCCGACGGCCAACCACCACGTAGGTTCTGCTCATGCGTGAGAGGAAATAACTCTCTATGCCAGCAGGGGGCGGTAGTCTGTTGTTATGATACGAGAAGACCATTTTCACACCGCTGTCGCTCACCACCTGTATTATAGGTAGCCTACTAATGGAGAATAATGTCTGATAAAAGTGGAAAATGGCAAGAATAAAGTTGTACATTTCCGACTTTAATCTTGTACATTTCCGACATTAATCTCGAATTTAAAAAAAAATTTTTTTAATGTGGCCCTAATCCTCCATCGTATTGTCAGCCCTTGGTCTTTAAGTGGGAAAAGAAAAGAAGAGGCGGAGGCAACAAATAAGGAGAAACCACATTAATGGGTAAAAGCATGGATACTACAGCGGCATGCACAAGGGGCTTTCCTGAACCTGTGTTGAGAGCTGGAGAGGAAACCTCCAAACAGCCAATCAGAGAGACTCCTCTCACCGACTGCTGACGCTGATTCAACATGTCGAATCGGCTGAAAAAAAAAAGCCAATTGGCTGACAGGTAGCGATGGAGCCGGACACACCTCGAAAACCAGGACCGACTGCCAACGATCTCCTTGGTGTGTCAGGACCTTTACAGGCTCTCACTTCTCGTGTGCGATCGGCGCAACATGACTGCGCTGATTTACTCGTCACATTAGGGCTGAAAGTTGAGAGAAAGAGGTCGTGGTCAGCCCTATGTTCCCACAGCCCAATGTTCCCACAGCCCTATGTTCCCACAGTCCAATGTTCCCACAGCCCTATGTTCCCACAGCCCAATGTTCCCACAGTCCAATGTTCCCACAGCCCTATGTTCCCAGCCCAATGTTCCCACAGCCCTATGTTCCCACAGCCCAATGTTCCACAGCCCTATGTTCCACAGTCCAATGTTCCCACAGCCCTATGTTCCCACAGCCCAATGTTCCCACAGTCCAATGTTCCCACAGTCCAATGTTCCCACAGCCCTATGTTCCCACAGCCCAATGTTCCCACAGCCCTATGTTCCCACAGCCCAATGTTCCCACAGCCCTATGTTCCCACAGCCCAATGTTCCCACAGCCCTATGTTCCCACAGCCCTATGTTCCCACAGCCCAATGTTCCCACAGCCCTATGTTCCCACAGCCTATGTTCCCACAGCCCTATGTTCCCACAGCCCTATGTTCCTAAGCCCTATGTTCCCACAGCCCAATGTTCCCACAGCCCAATGTTCCCACAGCCCTATGTTCCCACAGCCCAATGTTCCCACAGCCCAATGTTCCCACAGCCCTATGTTTCCACAGTCCTATGTTCAAAATTAGGCCCGACATGTTCCCACATTTCTAGGACATTTTCAAAGTTAGGTCTTGTGTTCCTACATTTCCCTTCAATTTAAAGCCCTATCCTCCCACAAGAAATGTTTGCAATAAACAAAGAGATGGGCGCACCAGATTTAGGTCTGTACATTTCTGCAAAGAGAGTTTCTCCAACATGCTCTATCGTTATGTAACAGTCCCTCTTATAATTACGATTTATGATGGACCAAAGACGCCGATTTGACGTCTTTTTCAACTCCAGATCTCGTCTTTATCGCACCTCTCCTCTACGAGACCTGCTCTGCAGCTGTTTCGCCTCCTCTCGCGGTGGTCACATTAAGTTTACTCACCGCCTGCCTTTAACAGGATTGCACTCAGAAAACAACACACCACCCAGTGCAGGCTGCAGCAGGATAATAAAAAGAAGAGACTGCACAACAATAGATAGAGCCAGAGGGAAGGGAGGGAGGGAGGGAGGGAAGGGGGGCTAAAGATCAAGCAGGAAATATGGAACCACTTATGGCCCCTGAGAGTGAGATCCCTATAAAGGGTTAAAGATGGCTGTGGGATAAGTGGAGCTCGTTTATCGCAAATTTCGACAGTGGTAGTTAAATGGTGAGTATTCCCTCCGAGCTGCCAGTTTGCACACAAGTCTCCTCCGAGTGTCCTGCTCTTCTTCTTCTTTTTCCTCTTCTTCTTCTCGGGTTTACAACCGCCGTCTGAATCAGAGCAGAGGAGAGGAGGGTTTTCTCGTCTGTCTCTCCTCTTCTCTCACCTTTAAAGTCATTGCTGCTGCGTTTGTCCTGCGAGAACACCTCATCCTCTTAGTCACCTTTAAACCTCCTGCCCCCCCCCCATCTCGTTCCTTTCTGTCCCCCTCGCTGTGGATCTAAATCTCCATCCTCCAGACTCCATCCCCTGGAGTCTCTGCAGATGTCCTCAGCCCGGCGCTGAAGCGGGGGCGCTCGCCAGCAGCCCAGATGCATCTGCGAGTCTTTGCCTTTGTGATGTCTTTGCTCTGTGAGGTGGTCAGGATGGGCTCTGGTGTCGTGCAGAAGCAAAGTGGTGAGTACGGCTCGAAAGGCGACTTTTAAAAAACGACACCTTCACCTTTTTTGTCTCTGCGGTGTCTTGGTGGTTCCTTCTGATGAGCACGAGGAGCAAACTGGAAGTTCACAGTTCAAGCTGTTTAGTCTGTTAGCATCAAATATCTGCAGCCAGAGTCCAAAGAAATGTGTCACATTTAATGCGTCAATCACATTATGACACTTTCTGTCATGCTAAAGATATCGATTTTTATTTTCTGACACCCTGAAATTTCCCGTAAGACTTTACTGCATCTCCTCTTTTTCAATGCGTGTGCAAGAATTCACTCAACAGCTTTCTGAACAGACACATTTTCTGGGATTTTTGTGAAGCTTTAACTCAAAATTAAAAATGCAAAATGTGCAAAATGTCTGATTATTTAAGTGAACTTAAGTTCCTCCCATGATGGACCTCCTTTGAAAGAGCCTCTCTGTGAAGTGCCCCCCCAACGAGGCCGATTAATGAGTTCTATCTCTAAAGAAGGGCAAGTACAGCGCTGCACCATCAGTGTCTTATTCACCGCAGAACGACCTTCAGGTGTCACTGAACCGAACTCAGAGTCTGAGGAGGTTTGAAACCATCGTTTAAATCTTCCTGATATGAACCGTACTCCTCCTCTTTAACGTCTCTGAGTCCAAACTCACGTCTGTATTTAACTGTCATGTAATATCAGAACTAAACGTTTGAGGAATAACACGGTGACATTAACTCTGACATGATCACGTTCCCATCAACAGTTTACTGAATTTAAACACTTTGTTTGAAAATGGAACATCAGATCTTTTTTAAAACCCTTTTTTTTTTTACTTGTAATTTCTTTTTGGATGGAGTTTATTCATCCATAACTTAATTATTTAAAGGCTTTATATGAAATTTTTCACACTTAAATGTAATAGAAATCAAGTATATCCTCTGAAAATAACTTAGTTTGTTTACAATGTCCATCGGAGGTAGAAGTGCCCCCTTTAGAGAAACACGGTGCGATAACAGCACTGAAGAAGCTTGGTAGTTGACTTTAAAATAACATCCGTGCTGCAACAAACAAACATTTGGATCGATTACTGAAAGGATTGAATCGACTCATCTCATTGGATGTTCTGCACGATTACTTCAGGGCCTTTAAATTCAACATCCCTCTTTCTAACTCAACTCTGCACAGCTTCCTCTGCTCACCGCCCTCTGCACAGCGCCCTCACCAGGAAGAGGAGCGTGTTCAGTGACAGACTGGCTAATGGTCGATGCTGAGATCTGAGGCTGATGGAAGAAGGTGATGAAACAGTGAAGGCTCGGCGGTGACTTGGAGGTGGAGGAGGTCACATGTTATGACAGCAGCGATATGATAGGCTGACGATGAGGAAGTGGAGCAGATAATTACAAGAAAAGCGTGGAGGAGGGATGTGACGCAGGATGAGATAGAACGAGCGTGCAGAACATAACGTCTTCCTGACTGAACTTTCTGCAGATATCCGATGAATTTAAACGATACAGACGTTAAAACAAAGTCACCAAGGATGTTTAAGTCCAGACTGATCAGGCAGAATCAAGATGCAGTCCACTGGATGTTGTGCAAACAGCAAAGATAGTAAAGAGGTGAGAGGGCTCACTCCTGATGAAAACATGAACAACGATGTCACCAAGGAAATATAGACAATTCAATTTATATGCAACTCATTTTTTAAAGTCATTTTAAAAGTAGATTGAAGGTGTGTGAGGAAGATGCTTCAGTTTGTAGATGCTTTGACTGATGACTTTCTGCTCTGTGACTCAGGACATGTTAAACTATGTTTGTAATTACTGTGTTTTATGTCTGTAACTTTTTGTTGTGCTGCTGCCCCTCTTGGCCAGGACACTCTTGCAAATGAGATTCTTAATCTCAATAAGGTTCTCCTGGTTAAATAAATTTAAATAAAAAAAATGAAATAAAATAATAACCTCGACGATGACGATATTCTTCGTCCTATTAAAATGCCTTTTAATCATTCTGGAGAAAACAGACTTCGTCCTGAATCCTCGTGTTGCAGCTCGTTAAGCGCTGCAGCAGCAGACGCTCTGCAGCTCTTCAGAGAGAATCTAGAATCCACATTTGTGTTTAATGAGTCCTCCTGATATCCTCCTGAAAACAGTCCCGAGCAGGTATACGCCGTGACCTGCACGCTGGCCGCGGTCTGGCATTTCCTCAGGAATTCAGCACTAATGGAGCATCATCCGGTCTCAATTACGGCGTCAGTTTGGCTTCCGATGTTTCCCTCACAGAGGGGGGGGGGGCAAGCAGCGGAGAGGCGTTAGAGGATGATTAGAGGCTCTGCATGGAGCCATTAAGGTACCGCTGACTCTCACTCAACATAACGGCTTCTGACAGCAGCTTCTGACACTTTGAACGCTGCAGATTTAACAACTTCAGATGAGAACCTGCAGAAACCTGCACACTCCGTTTTTATTGAACACATTTTATTTTGAACTTATCATGGAAATCAGACAGATTAAACAAACAGAAGTCTGAACAAGATGAGAAAGTGAAAAAATGTCCTCATCTTACTTTACTTTGACTGAATTCTCACACATGCATGAAAAAGGAGGCGATGCGTCCGCAACTCTGCAGAGATGTCAGGGTGTGAAAATACAAGTTTATCCATTTGTAGTCTGACTGAGCGTGCAGACTAATCAACCTGAACAGCTTCAAGTTGGACGCCGTTTTCAGGTCCAAAAGGTCAAACTCTGGTTGTGGGCGGACAGGTTGACCTGCTGTCAGAAGTCATCACGTCACAGAGCACTCCCCCCCCTCTCTCCCCCACTGCCCCACTGCCCCCCCTCCCCCGACCCGCTGTTTTACTTTTCACACAAAACTGAACAGGTTTGAAGTGGTTGACAGTGGGAGACGTGATCCTGCAGGAGTCAGGAGGTTAAAGTCTTTATTATGTCCTTTAGTGGGATTTACGTCTCTGTAAGATTACTGTAGGTAATCATGAGCACCTGGGACTGTTTCAGTGCAGAGTTCAGAGGCCGGGGGACGGGGGGGGGGGGGCATGTGATGAAATGCTTCCCTGGATGAGAGTCCAAAGACAGATGCAGAGAAGACATCACAATATGAACATAAATGAAGGATTTTATTTAAAACATGACATGTAAAATTTTGCAGGTCATGCAACTTTGAAAAGTTTTTTTTAATGATGCAAACTTCGCTTTAAGTCGTCTAAATCTTGATCTTTTAAGCCTGAGGTCATATTCAGCATTTAAACTACTGCTGCCCCGGACATGGAGGTGTTTGAGCTTTCATTTGAACACACTAGACCTAGACACACCCAAGACCAGAGTGCTCCTAGACCTAGACAAGACCAAGGCCAAGGCCATAACCATCCCAGAATAATCCTCATCTTGTGTTTAGGGGACGTGTCACTCACTCAGACCGTAACACCGGGAAGGTTGCTGCCGTAACCGGGGGATGAAAATCAAACTGATTTGAAGTGATTTTTATTTTTTTTAGAAAGAAGCGTTTTCCATGTGATCACAGTAATGACCAGGAGAAATAACCGATCAGTGGTGGTCTTGACCGATCTTGATTTAAAATCCAGAGTCCGCCCAGTCTGAGACCGAGACAAGGCTGCGTAAAAATGCTTTTGATTCCGAGACCTTCAGAGAGTGGTCCTGAAATTATATTGAAAGCACTAACTGTGACCGTGGTGGAGAATATTTTAGTTTCTTTTTTGTGTGTTTTTTTTCTTTGCATGCTTTTAGCTCACGCACCTCCGAGCACTAGGTGGAGCCGCAATGTTGTTAAGTGCAAACATAAACAGACGTGTTTGGAGGGGGGGGGTAATCAGGTGCAGGTGCTGGTGGAATACTCTGGACTCTGAAGTTGTAATGTTTGGGGTGTGTGTTGACACGACTGTATTCAGATCTCTCTCCTTAGACAACCACAGGTCATACTGGTCTTACTGGTCATAGCAGCCCGTTAGTCTGCTCCCCTCCATGGACCGTGTGGGACCCCCGACTCGAGCACCTTGTTTTGGGGGTCACAGGCCAAAAAGTTTTGGAACCAATGCTCTCTCCAATGTTTACAATATTTGGACTGCAGTACCAATTTTAACCACTAGGTGTCAGAGGTACATATTGCTCCTTTAATTGTATTTCCTGTGGACTCGTCGTGATTCCCTCCGCGTTGAAATGAAGTTCTGTCAGGTTTGCATTGTTGAGTTAAAACATTGTTACATGAGATCATAAGGCGCGATGCTTCTAGTTTCTTTGTCCTGAAAACATGTTGCCATACGTATATAATAAAATGTCATGTGCATCATAAGTCTTTGTTTCTTTTCTATCTTTTAACTTTCTCGTCACCGTCTCTAACCTTCACGTGTGTTCAGTTTGAGTGTGGAATCTTTCAAACATGTTTCCTTTAAACTCCACTGGAGCTTGTTACACCTGGAGCTTGTTAAAAAAAGGGGATCCCATTCAAGGTCAGCGGTCAACATTTTAACGCTACCTAAACGTGCAGCATCTCCAGAAGTCTCTAAAGCCGGCAAAACGATCACATGTGCAGAAAAAACTAAAGTCCCTGAGGAAATCTGCTCCGTTCTGATCCATGTTTAGTCCTTATCTACAACTCTGTGGGGGGGAGCTGTAACATGTTCAAGGTCAAAGATCATTGTTCAGAGAGTTCTCTTCATTTTGGACCTGAGATGGAGGGCTGGTTAACGTGTTCCCTTTCTCAATGTCACAATGGAAGGACACACATTATGGTCCTGTGCTTGGTTTCCTCTGATTCAACACAAGTTTCTGTTTCCTGTGAAAAAGTTGTAGACTTACTGTAAGAGGATCAACATGAGGGCTTCTTCAGATGAAACACAAAATGTTGGCAACAACATCAAACATGTTTATTTTGTTGCCTTATTTTCCAACAGTCAACACACACACAGCTGTAGCATTTAAACTTTCTACTAAAGGACTGTTGCTGGATTACTTTCTGTTCCTTTTATTGGTAGAGATTCTTCTTTTTCTGTCTCTCCTTTGATGGATTTCTGTGGCTCTAAAAAGAAATCCTCGCTCTTTATATCAACTTCAGCGAAACAGAACTCAAGCCCTCTGTTTTACATTTGATGAATTACGTTCACACCCAGGAGCTTCCAGGAAGACGCCATGCCTGCTGATCTGAAGTCTGTGAGGATCAAATATTTAGTTAAAGAGCTCCTCAGCACCTGCTTTTGTTCAAGTGTTCAGGGATTCTTTTTACAAACACACTTGATGCCTGAGATGCTTTCAACGTGTGCAGGTGATCAGCTGGACGGTCTGCAGCAAAAGCTAGATAGAAGGGATTGTACCCGACCTAAAAAGCCTCTGCATGTTTCTAATAAGCTCCACGAGCAGAAACGTGCTCAAACTAGGATCAATATTGGAGATGCTTTTGAAAAATGGAGAGAGGTTAGAACACAGAAAGGTTTACAGACCGATGCAGAGCTGGCTAAACACTGAAGCTTCAGAGTCCACCACATGGCAACCTGCGTGAGCATGGACTCTAGAAAGGAGGGGGCGGGGGGAGACAGCTCTCTATAATGTTTAGAATTCAGACTGCAGTACCCATTTTAAACACTAGGGGGTCAGAGTTACATACTGCTCCTTTAATGACCCTACTATTCTTGTAGAAGTTCAGCTTACAGGGTTAAAAAGATGTCAAGCTTCTTGAAATTTGACCTCAAAGACCCCAGAGTGTATTTTTAAACCATTTCACACACAAAAACACACACACACACACACACACACACACACACACACACACACACACTCCTACAGACACTCTGCAGTCATGGGCAGTCAGCCACAGGTATTTTGTCAGGATCAGACTCGATTGTTCGGACTCAGCTCATCTTTCCATCCCTCTTTTCCTCCTCCCATTCATCTTTACCTCCTGCAGTCCGTAGGTGTGGCCCGATCCAAGACGTGCCTCAATTGTCTTAACGTTTTTCTTCTAAAATCACGTTTGATCACGTGAGATTCTGTGAGATCTCGTGGTCTGGCTGAATCGTCTAGTCTGGCATTCAGAGGATTAAAATGTTCTCAAAATAGAAGTCAAGATTTTGCATGAACTCCTAAATTAGAAATAATGTTCAGACTACGTTTGGACTGACACAGAGTGGCGGTTCGGCCTTTTCTTTTTCTTTTTTTAGTATAAAGGAGCTCCTGCTGTCTCTACATGTGGAGATCTTCGAGCCTGCAGGATCAACAGATCCGTATCTCGAGGAGCTCGTCGGAGGATTTCTCATGGAGTCCAGAAATTCACTCTGAATCTTGTAGATTTGAAGTGTCTGCCTTCTTACCCCCTTTTCCCTCTCTCTGTTTTTATCGAAGTAGGAGCGTTGTTGTCAGTGATGAATTTGTTGAATAAATGGAATATGTGAAGAGTTAAAGGCTCGATAACAGCTTGTTCACAGGACAGTTTGGAGTTTGAGGCACAAACAAATAAGTGCATCTGACCTGAAAAGGCGTTTCTGATATTTGAACATTAACAGACTTAAGCGAGAAGGAGAGTTGTTAGACAAGTTAGACCGGATGCAACTGTCTTTTTTTTTACCTCTGTACTTCAAGATGTTCTGTGAATGAATTTGCACTATAAATAAACTTAATGTTAAAGGTCACATATCCTCCTCCTCTTCAGTGTAAATAAGTCTCAGAGCTCCTCAAAATATGTGTGTGAAGTTTCTTGTTCTAAAACTCTGATCCTGTATTTGATTATGTCTATAAACCCCTCTATTTCAGCCCTGCTCAGAACAGGCTGTTTCTGTGTCTGTACCTTTAAATATGTAAATGAGCTGTGTCTGACCACGCCCCCTCTCTGGAAGGGCTTGGGTGTTCTATTGTTTACGGTGAGAAGGCAGACTCAGAGGTCAGACAAAACACCTAGCTGTGGGAGTGTCACCCACCTGGGGGATCGGCTACTGCCCTTTGTGATGTCATGAAGGGAAAATCTGCAAACGGCCTGTTTGAGCACACATTTTCTGAAAAGTGGAGCAGGGAAAAAACGGAGAGGATGGACTTTTCTCATCATTGGGGGGTTTGTAGACAGACTAGAGACACATAATAGAGTCAGAGGAACATGGGGAAGAGGACTTTACAGAATATGTGACATTTTATTTTCCTCCAGATGTGCAAACAGTCCTAAATGTATCTCTTCACTCTGAATCTGCAGCTCGTTGTACGTCTGCCATGTCCTCTGCTTCATTTGTCTCCATGTGGGCTCGGAGCTCTTACTTTGTGTTTAAATGAAGAGGGTGAGATGTAAAAGTTTGCAGGGGGTCAAAAATATGTAGAAACACCTTCAAACCCTCCTTAAGCAGACGGTGTAATTCTTGGATCCTCTCTGGTGTTTTCCGTCTGTTTTCTCGTCCTGATCGTGTCTCTGTCGTCCTCCACAGCTCACAGAGAGACGTCAGACGACTGCCGCAGCTGTCTGGAGTGTTCCCGAGAGAACGGCTGCGTGCGATGTCCCGAGCGTCTCTTCTTGTTCCTGCAGAGAGAGGGGATGTCTCATCACGGCGCCTGTCTCCACGCCTGCCCCACCGGACACTACGGACAGCGAGGGAAGGACATCAACCGCTGCATGAGTACGTTTTTACAACAGGCATGTGAAGGAGGTACATCTGCTGTTTGTAGACAGACTGACAGACAGACAGACAGACAGACAGACAGACAGACTGACAGACAGACAGACAGACAGACAGACTGACAGACAGACAGACAGACAGACAGACAGACTGACAGACAGACAGACAGACAGACAGACAGACAGACAGACAGACTGACAGACAGAGAGACTGACAGACAGACAGACTGACAGACAGACAGACAGACAGACAGACAGACAGACAGACTGACAGACAGACAGACAGACAGACTGACAGACAGACAGACAGACAGACAGACAGACTGACAGACAGACAGACAGACAGACAGACAGACAGACAGACAGACAGACAGACAGACAGACAGACAGACTGACAGACAGACAGACAGACTGACAGACAGACAGACAGACAGACAGACAGACAGACAGACAAACAGACAGACAGACAGACTGACAGACAGACAGACAGACAGACAGACAGACAGACAGATACCGTAGTATCCTGCATCCCGTCATATTGATGTCATGTCGACAGGCTGAACATTTTCTCTGACTGTGTTTTGTTTCTCGTCCCCCTCAGAGTGCCGCTCTGCAGACTGTGAACACTGCTTCAGTCGGGACTTCTGCACTAAATGTAAACCTGGTTTCCAGCTGTACAAAGGGAAGTGTCTGAGCCGCTGCCCACCGGGGACGTTCGCCTACCACACGGACTGCTTCGGTGAGTGAACACACACGATCACAGCAGGTCATATGTGATCTCTCTGACTAATGAATCATTAAGTGAGAAGCTCGAACCCCGCTGGCTGTGTTGTTGTCAGAGCTGTGTTTACATGGACGGGACGGCCGGCTCCTCCCCTTGTGTATAAAAGCTGTTTTAGTCGAGGACTAGAGAGAAGAAGAAGAACATACTCACTGATTATTTGAATGTTAGTAAGAGTTTTGAGATCATGTTCATTCGGTGTCAGTTTACATGCAATGTGAAGCTACGAGCTAACTAAAGAGCGCTAACATTAGCATGCTAACACAACAATGCAGGACACATGTGACTCCCTCGTGTGAATGTGAGGTGAGGGGGGTTGGAGATGTGTCTCTGGAGGAGAGCGGAGGCTTCAGTTATGGAGGAGATGTGACCTCACAGACTGGGACACCGATATGATGCAGTCGCTGCATCAATATGAACGTACGAAGACGTGATGACAGGCAAGAGAGACAAATGTGTGATTAATTACACGGCACATGTTATGAATGATGGTTCTCACATTCTGTCTCTTCAGAGGCTTTCAGGATTTTAAATATCAACCTGAGAGACTCATCTTCTCTCTCTCTCTCTAAACACTCATCAGCTCCACTTCTGTCTCTTCATTTCTCATGTCTCACCTTCCTCTGATCTTCGGAGCCAAACATTTAATGCAACACATGATTCACCTCAGATGTCCCCCAACAGTCATCAGACTGTATCCTCATATCTCCTTGTATCCTCTCTCAGTAAGTGAGATAAATCTCTTTCTCTCTCTCTCTCTCTCTCTCTCTCTCTCTCTCTCTCTGTGTCTGCCGTCCACCTGCAACATCTGCAGCTACTGCTGCTCGTTGGCAGGCCCAGCACATCTGCTTCTCATGCAGATGTTGAGGTTTCATGTTTGACTGTGGGTACACACCTCGAGCTACGGGAAACCTTTTCATTTCAGAGCCGGGATCTCACATGATAATGGTGATTAGAGGAAATGATGGCACAGAGCAGGTTGCTGCAGCGTGTTGGAAAAAACCTGCACAGGCTGATTTCTGTGAATGACATCAGAAGCAGTGAGTGTGTATTAATGTTTTCATCTGGAGTTCATCTGTCTCTAATGACTCCAGCGTGTTAGCCAGAGGTCAGGAGAAAACATTAGTCTGATGTGTTGTTACCTCACTGAGGGCTTTTTTGGTTCTAATTTATCGATCTCTCCTCGAGATCTAAGCCCCTGTGCCTCGCTGATCTGAGACCAGAACGGATCTTTTTAGGAGAGCCGAATAAAATCTGATTTATTCTTATTTCAACACCTCTTTTTATGGCTGTGAACGTCTTTCTTCTCTGTAGCTGCCTGTGATTCCAGATTTTCTGTTTCTGGACCAAAACTCAAATGTTGAAGCGCATTTACTCGAGAAAAAGAATTTTTAAAAACCTTAGTTTCTTTGACATGCTTTTTTTCTAAAAATGCTTGTTGATCTTTCCTTTCCTGATAGTTTCCCATGGATTCATCTCATGAGAAACGGCTCGAGTATTTTGGACTCTGCAATCTTGTTTTTTCCCAACATTGTCTCCTTTTTGTATATTTGAAGTCAAATTTAAAGACAGAGTCAGCAGCTTGTTCCTTCAAAATAAAATTCAGACTTCTCCTAAAGTGAAGCTGCTCCATCGTCCCTTCTGGGCCTCCATACATGTGTGGTGGTGACTGTGTCTGCAGAGACTCTGTCCTCTGACTGATTTTACTGTTCTGCTTTGTTCTGGTTGACTTGGGACGTTTCTGGTGTGTTTCCTCCAGCCAATGACAGCGCAGCAGGTGAGTTTAGGAGTGGATACAATTCAGGGATTGGACACCATTTAAACCGGTGAATATGACGGACGTGGACGTATAGCAGCAAAGAAGAGAAAACATAATCACAGTGAGGAGAGACACCAAGCGGATAAAGCTCGTTCTAAAACGAGGGTGAACCTTGTGTTGTCTTTTACCGTGGACGTGGAGTTGGTCTGCTTCCTGTTGGACAGGCAGGTGACAAACACCAGGCGGTTAGCTTGTGCTAGCGCGGTTAGCTTGAAGTGTAGGTACTAGCAGTGAAGGTACACACTACGTCCTGCAGGGGGCAAGGCTTCTGGGGGTGATGAGTCCAGGAAGAGGAGCCCAGTTTGAATGTTTACAAACATTTCTACTGACTCCACCTTTAAAAAAGAAAGAAGTAAAACATTGAATAAACGTGCGTTTTCTGTTCCCCCTCCTCTCGTAGATAACTGCCTCCTGGCTCCGTTGGGAGAGTGGAGCGACTGGAGCACCTGTCTCCGAGAAGGCGTCACCTGCGGCTTCAGGTGGGGGAAGCAGACCAGGACTCGGGGGGCGGGCGGGTCGTCCGTCAGAGTGACATCTGAAGAGAAACCGCCATCACTCTGTCCGCCCAACAGCGAGACGCAGCGGTGCAGGATCAAGAAAAAATGTCCGACAGGTGAGAAAGAAAGAAAGAAAGAGGGAAACAAACAGCTGATTTAACCGTTATCAAAACAAAGAACATTCTGCTCTAACAACCACAGAGTTTACAGCTCATCATTAAGTGATTATTGTTTTGATGACGTGTGGCTGCACACATCTGGGGATCGTCTGTGTGTTGCTCTGCTTGTTGTGTTCTTTGTTGACACACGTGTTCAGTTTATAATGCCAAGCGGGAGAAATGCGAGCCCGTAAAAAAAAAAACCTCCAACATGTGCTACCCCTAATTATCACCTGTAGGTGATGTTCACCGCTATCCCCCCCGATGGGATGTTTAAAGGTTCCCCGCATACCTGCAACAATCGCTGTGGATATCGTCACGCTGACAGCATGACAGAGCCGCCATGACAGGCACGGCATGCGTATCGTTGCCATGGAAACATCGGATGCTACATCGAAGGCCACTGCATAAAGAAGTGCGAGCTGCTGCTGGAAGCTGCCGTCCTGTCGCTGTATGAGCTGCTGTGATAACATGTAGATTATACTCGGACACATTAACACGTCGGTAAACATATTCTCTTCTTGGACCACAGCAATGGACAGGCGTCTTTAGAGAGTTACCATAGCAACCGCCTGGTCTCTGTTTTTAAAAAGCAAAACTAAAGCAGGCGAGTCGACATACAGAAAGATTTACTTGTTCAAATTCACCGTTTGGTCGACTCTATCCTCCTCCACAAACTCTCAGGGCGCACTCACACTAGACAATCTGTACTGTTTCTCAGCATGCTTCACCCCTAAAGTCCAGTTTGTTTGACCAGTGTGAGTCCTCGGTACACTTCCTCGGCCCTGGCACTCTTTGAAGAGGTGTTCTCTAGCACGGTACAGTTCATGCACGAGGATAATCAGAATCAGATTTATTGGCCAGGTATGCTTACACACACAAGGAGTTTAACTTCAGTGAACTGTGCTTTCTTATGTACAGGTACAACAATATCAACAATGAACATCATAAGAAAAGATTAATATTTACATGACTAAACATGAAACAGTGCAGTGGTGAATAGTGCAAAAGATGCTGAAGTAACATGATAATAAGTCAAATGCAGTTATGTGATAGATGGGTCAATTAAGATGTCAATTACAGTATTTACATAAATAAGTGTGCGTATATTGATCATTTAAATTAGATAATATATATATACGTGTATGTAGATTCACAGTGAAGGTTGGTCACAGTGTAAGCACAGGTACAAAACGTGGACAGCCTTCATTATGGAGAAACCCTGGAGTGTTCTGTGTGTTTCTGACTAACATGACTCACAATAAGACACAAAGTCAGTAAAGTAGCTCTCATGATCTCTGAGTTGTTCTCTGATATAAAGACACAGACTTGACTGTGCGTCCCTTTTTATTTTTGAGTCCTCCTGTCTCATAAACTAAGCTCGCTTCGTGATCACTTAAAGTCATGCATGTGTTGTATTGCGACGTTATGTATAAGTTGCAGCCGTGCTCAGGCCTGGTTAGTCCTGGAGCAGTGTGAGTGCAGACCAGCGTGGGAGGGGGGACAATCGTGCTAGAGCACGGTACAGGGAAACTGGGCCGAGTGTGAGTGCGCCCTCAGACTTTATAAATCTGTGATCCCATCAGCAGCTTCCCTCCTCCGCTCCGTCATCATCACCACTCCAGCCGCAGGCCGTTTATTACGTGACCATAAACAAACGTTTGGAAACATTCGCTGGAATAATCCGCGGTGTGGTTTTCTGGTCCTTTCCAGCCCGAGGAGAGTCAGTAAAGCGTGAGTTCGGTGAGTTGTTTTTGTCGTGATTTTTTGGGTTTGATTGATGACATCACTGGCTATGGTGGATGATTCTGACCCCAACATGTTTGTGATGACGGCTTGAGGACGGATCAGTGAGTGGCTGAAGGGAGGGAACCACCTTTAAAATGTTTATCTGTTTAATGAAGACGAAGGAGAAGGAAATCCCTCATGACATGTTTGTGACTGAGTGTTGTGGAAAAAGTGAAAACACATTTAAAAAAGGCATGGTTCAACTTTCTCTCCCATTTTTGTAAAAATCTAAATAAACACTGATTTATATTACTCTTTAGATCATGCTTTCCCTTCAGCGCCTTGAGCATCAACACTTTTAAACTCTTCCTGGGACATTAAAGGGTCAAATATTATTTAAAATTCAATTTTTCTCTAGCTCTAATATGTGTCTCTAGTCTGTCTACAAACCCCCCAATGATGAGAAAAGTCCATCCTTTGCCTACTCCACTTTTCAGAACATGTGTGCTCAAACAGGCCATTTGGAGATTTTCCCTTCGTGACATCACAAAAGGCAGTAACCCCTCCCCCAGGTGGGTGACACTCCCACAGCTAGGTGTTTGTTCTGCTCTCTGAGTCTGCCTTCTCACCGTAAATAATAGGACATGAAGCGAGAAAGCCAGAGACACCCAAGCCCTTCCAGAGAGGGGGCGTGGTCCGACACAGCTCATTTACATTTAAAGGTACAGACACAGAAACAGCCTGTTCTGAGCAGGCTGAAATAGAGGGGTTTATAGGCATGATCAAACACAGGATCAGAGTGGATTTAAAACAAGGAACTTCACACACATGTTTTTAGCTCTGAGACTTATTTAAACTTGTTGAAGAGGAGGAGAATATGTGACCTTTAAACAAAGAACAAAGTATTTCCCTTGCATAGATGCATTATGTTGAAATCATATCTAGAACCTGGAATAAATATCTTAATCTTAAAATCAGTATTTATTTTTTTGCCAAGTTTCCCCTCAGAAAATAAGATTGCCTGGTTCCCAGTTTTTTAAACGTGATGCAATTTTATTAATAAATCAAACAAATAGATGAACCCTGTTTTGATACCTCGACAAGAAAAAAGAAGAAATCCTATTGGCTCCCAATGTTGATGTTTCTAATAAGCTCTACGAGCAGAAACGTGCTCAAACTAGGATCAATATTGGACTCTAGAGAGGAGGGGGCGGGGAGACAGCTAAGTGTCACATATTGCTCCTTTAAATGTTTCGACTCAGCTCTAGAGGCTTCACCACCTTTTTGACCTTTAAGTTTCCAGTTGATCCCGTGTGAACGTCCTCGAACATTCATCTGTAGCGTCTCTCTGAAGCGTCCTGTCCTCCTTTAGTCACAGACGGAGAGCGGGTATGTAGATCAGGACGATAACAGACCGATGATTCCCCCACTTTGCTCAGCTCCCTGCAGCTAAAAAAGGACTTCTCATGTCTGCTGCTCGGCTCAGAGATTACATCTTAAAACTTCACACCGCTCCTTTACGACTTTCCCCTCAGAGGGAATCCAGCCGTGCAGAGGGCGGAGGAATAATGTCCAGGATGTAACGTTCGACATGTGCACCGTGTTCACGACAAACTGAGCGAGGACTAAGACTACAAAATCCCTCAATTTGAGTAAAGTCTGGGTTGTGGAGACTCTGTCAAAACGGGTTAAAGTTGTTTTGAAGAAAACAAAAACACAGACTTATTGATTCCCTTTTCCCCCCTCCGCCCTCGTGTGTCAAACTCTGCAATGAATTCATTACGAGCTTTGTAAAGTTATCCCAAAGATTACAAAACAAACTCGGCCGCGGTTTCTTGCTTTCCCTCCAAAACCATGTTGTTGTTGTTCCTCGTGGATTTATGTGTATTGAATTTTCATATTTGGTGTGAACTCTTTTTATTTTGTAAGACTTGAAAGCAGATTTCTTGATTTCCTGCAACATGTTGTCTCAACAGTGTCTCGTTGTGTTGTGCTGAACTCTGGAATGATGAACGTCTCTTTTCTTACACCAAAACAAGTGAAGCTGTCAAACATTCAAACCGTCCAGAGAAAGTACCAACATGTGTTCACTTTGAGGAAATGTCTTGTTCAAGCTAAAAGGCTCAAATGTTTAATATGCAAACAGAAAGTTTTCTTCAACCAGAGCTGACGACAGGTTTCATCATCTTACACCAAACATTCAAATGTTGTTGTTTGACATTTTTACAAGTTTCTATTTCCAAACAAAAACTCAATAAGCTGTGAATCATCTTTGTCTCGGCACTCCAGCAGTCTGCTTTCTGAGAACACAGAGAACACCAGACTGTAAATATTAATGGACGAAGCCTAACGACAGGCTGAGAGCTGGAGCTGAGGCGGGTTTTAAAGCTCCTGACAAACCGTTACAACGCGCCCGCCTGTCAATCATGTCAGCTCTGTGCCTGACTATGGATAACACTTATCGTTTTCAAAATCAAAACAGAGTCATCAAAACATTCACCCCCCGTACAGTGTGTGTTGATCGAGACATGAGATCAACACACACTGTAAACATATTAATCTCTGCTGTAAAAACAGGCTTTTTAGAATGGGTGTGTATGTCACTTCCTGTGCTTCTGCAGCCAGCCTCTAGTGGACACTCTGTGTGCCTCTCTGTGTGGAGGTTCCTGGTTTGAATTCCCGTCTGACAGGAGCCTCTCTGTGACGAGCTGACGATTTACTCTCCTATCGACGGATCGTTCCTCTTTCTTTGACAAACTTTGGTTTTCACAGCATTAATGCACGGAACTGCAGGCTTTTACACTTCAGCATCTGGTTCATTTTTGAACACCGGAGCTTGCCGCTTCGTGTTGACGGTCAAGGGAGCACGGAGTCGTAACGGAGCGGACACACAATGCATACTAATCTGGTGACATCTCTGACCCCTACTGTTTAAAATGGGTACTGCAGTCTAAATTCTAAACATTGTAGAGAGCTGTCTCCCCGGCCCCCTCCTCTCTAGAGTGGATGCTCACGCAGGTTGCCATGTGGTGGACTCTGAAGCTTCAGTGTTTAGCCAGCTCTGCATCGGTCTGTAAACCTTCTGCGGTCTGACCTCTCTCCATTTTTCAAAAGCATCTCCAATATTGATCCTAGTTTGAGCACGTTTCTGCTCGTGGAGCTTATTAGAAACATGCAGAGGCTTTTTAGGTCGGGTACAATCACTTCTATCTGAACCAGTTCTCTTGCCCGCTTCCATCGCTGCAACACCTGTTGGTTTGACCTGATAACTGCTCTCATATCTGGCAAACCGAGGGACGTCCAAAACGGCCGTGTGGGGGTCGCCTTAAAACCGCCTACCTTCTCTGGTCCAAACAAATCCAGAGCATTCAGGACCAGAATCTAAAGTTAGAAGGAGGACATACTGGCTGCTTTTCATTCACACCCCTCTCTTACGCTCAAACAGAGACCTGCAGAGAAACGTTATCTTTCCCCGCCAACAGAAACGTCGCTTCATCTCTCTGCAGACGTCGTTTTCACTGTGAGACTTTGTGTTGTCCTTGTCTCCGCCCTCATTGGAAGCCGTGTCATTTGCAGTAATCATCATTATCGTTGTCAGATCGAATGTCCGGTGGCATTA